AAAAAAAAAAAAAAAAATAGTTACATATGCGAAGTACAAAGTATGTTAACTAGAATGAATCTAGACAAATAATACCTATTTGTAGTAGTTGACCAAATATTTAATTAAGGACATCCATATCCCTTAACATTCATTCAATCACAATTTACATTCTCTTTCATCCACATCATCTCCACGTCATCTTTCCATTAAGGAAAGAGTTTTGAGAGAAAATTGGACGCTTTCTTGAAAGTTCATTTAAACTTACATTGTTTTTAAGTTATGCCAAACAAAAAAATAAAAATAAAAATAAAACTAAAAAAATAGTATTCTCCCGTATTCTGAGAATGTAGGTTAATTTGGGGCTCTTTATTTAAAGGGGATGGTCAACCCATATATTTATTTAAAGAGGATTTCTAAAATGTTAATTGGACAAATAACCCTCACATTAAGTAATGGTAAATAAAAATGTAAAATACCTAAAATGACCTTTTGTTAAAAAAAAATAAAAATAAAAAGAAAAGGTGAAGATATGAAACGTCCAGCGCAAGATCGAACGGAATTTTTTTTTTTCAATTCTTGTCATCTCTCTTTCTTCTTCTCTTCATTTTGCAAGAAATTGACATCATTTTGAATTTTATAAGTTAAAAGAAATGTGTTGATTGTAGATGAAAAAAAATCCCACACCAAGGTATTTTCTTGAAGAACAAGAAAAGTGGAAAGAAATTTTTGTAGTAGGGTTTCTTGTTATTTTAATTATAGAATCATTTTAGTTCATATTTATGATTAATAAACATTTTTGTTTCATGTTAATAATGTTTATGTTGTGCCAATAATTTTTTTTTTTCATTCATTTTGTTGATTAATAAAGGAACGATTGTGCAGTTGTTCTAGGCGGCTGATAACGATTGTATATTTGTTATATGTTTAATATTTTGTAAGGAATGCAATTTTGTGGTGTGATTGTTTTATAACGATTCTGCAACTGTTTTATCTTGAAAGGAATGCAAATATGTGTGATTGTTTTGTTGTGAATGTTTTATAACGAACTTAGATTTGTTTTATACAAGTGTATGTTTGTTAGTTTCATTTCTTAATATGATATAACGAATTTAGATTGATTATGTCTTACGAAATGTAGATGCATTATGTCATATGAGAAGACATATATTTATATTGTCGAAGTAACAAATAATTTTTTCTTGTAGATATTGATTTTAACGAAGATGGTGTGGATA